CATGAGGAGCAAACTTCAAAACCACTTGAAGAAACTTCATCATCATCAAACCTGTATTTCAGCTTCTTTTTACTTAGACAAATGCTTACAATTACAGGTCACTCCCAAACTCCCAAACCATGCACATAAGTAATGATATTTACACATCACCCATAGTGGGAGCTATTGTCTACAGATTTAAATCACCCCATGCCTGGCACAAAGTAGGTACTTGTCTGTCTTTGTTCAACTAAGATGTTGTTCTCCCCATTACGTGTTTTGTGTCTAAAGTATAATTTCATATTTGTGTGATTATTTGATTAATGGCTAATCCCTCCTTTATACTAGAAATGCCTGAGGGTAACACTGTACATCTTTTTCTATTAGTATTTATATCCCCAGAACATACTATATAGCATGCCGTCTGGCAAAAAGCTGGCCCTTGTTCTGTTATGAAGATTTAACATACAGTCCTTTAAAATAGTGGAATGGTTTTAGGTACATGCTAAATACCCTAAGCGTTACTGTCATTACTGTTGTTGTTGTTTGTTGCATAAATGAATTATTCATTGGCAATCTTACACCAACCTAATGTAGCAGATAAGGCAGCTTTTACAGTCTATATTTTTAGCAGATTTTTTTTTAACTGAGGCTTAGAGAAATAAGATAAGATGACCAAAACTACTTGGCAATGATGTATTATGTAATGCTATCTCATAGAAATTAAATGAATAAAAGTAAGGTCTGATTAAGAGAAGGAAGACATATCTAATCTTGGCAGCTCTTAAAATATGAACCAAATCAGAAGCTTGAGACATAAGGAAGATGAACTAGTCTTCCTGAGTGTATCTCAATCCTGACTAACATCCAATTCCTTTATTCAGTATAGCAGAGGTGTTTGCCAAAGATGAAGTCTAATTCTCTTCCTCTTGTATCTGGGCTGCCTTCAATATTTTTTTTGACAAATAGAATATGGCAGAAGTGAAATTCTCAGGTTTACAAGACTAGATTATAAAAATCTTTGCTTCTATTTGGCCTCTTGGACCCAAACAGCTGATCCCAGTCAACTCATAGAACCACAAGAAATAACAAGTTGATGATTTGTCAGTAACAATGGGGATAGTTTGTTGCACAGCAAAAGATAACCTGAAGATTCAAGAGAAACACATGGGGTTATATATATATACACACACACACACACACATATACATACATACATACATATATATACTGTGCTAACTTTGTGCTACGTGTTACGAAACTGCTTTAGGTAAAGATGGGATTCAGAGTTACCACGGTATTGACTGAAATTGTCTGATGGCCCCAGTTAATCATCATCCCTTTACTCTCTTCTCCTGTACCCAACCTATGTGTTGCTTACTTCCACGTGATTATTCTACAACCTATCCGGACTCTCTGTCTGGAATATTTAGTGCATCCCATCCCCTTCATTTAGCTGACCACTCCTCAGCCTCAGACTAGTTAGTTATCCTTTTTCAAACACTCATACTACTCTGTACTTCTCCAGTGAAGTATGTAATAGAATTTTAATGATCAAATTATTTGTGTGATTAGCTAACTATACAGTAAACAGTGAAATCCATGAAAAATGAGACTGCGTGCTTCTTGTTTATTATAGTACAGTATCCCTAGGATGACACAGTACTCTACACATAGTAAGATTTTTTTTTTTTTTTTGGTCAAATGAATGAATAAATGAGATGTCACAGCTATAGGCCAATGGATACAGAAAAGGGCCTTCTCTCAAATCTGAGGCATCCAAACTTTGTTTTTGTCAAAGATGACAACTGTGGTTGCCAATGAACTTTGAACATGCTAAAAAGATGACTCTGGTAGGGAAATTTTTATACAGCAAGGTATAGCTTAGTGATAACAGATTGATAATACAATAGTCAACATTATGATCTTCAAAGTGCCTTTCTGGTAAGCTCCCCAAAGACCTCTGGTATTCAATTCAAGATGGTGAAGCAAAGAGGCACAACCTTTAGAATCAGACAGATCTATAGTCACATCCTGATTCTGTACATTACTAGTGTCCTACTGAGGAATTTACTTCTCTAAGTCTCATTTTCCTGATATATTCTTTAAAATGGGGAAAAAAATACTGTTTCACAAAGCTATTATTGAAATAAAAGAATATGATGTGTGGGTAGTTATTGACACGTAGTAGGCTACTCAATAAAATTTGTTCACCCCTTTTTGGTGTGTGTAACTACCATTCCACAGCATTTCCTGATGGATATCACATGGCAATCCATCATGACAATAAAAAACATGCATCAGCTTCTCTTCAAAATATATAGCACTGATTCCAGAATTTTGATCTATTTAACTATAAATCATTCAGTAAATTAAAGAAAGCATTTGTAAAGCTGTGTTTAAGATGCAGGTAGGTGAGGTAACACAAGCTAACTGGTGGCTGTCTTCTGTAGTATTCCAAAGACATATCAATTTTTGCCCACACATCTCCAGGCTGCACTCAGGATAACTTTTCATGTTTGAAATTACAACTTTGAGAAGCAGCTTATATTCCAGAGAAAAGAAATAGTACTCCATACTTCTCACTGACTACAAATCTGAGGGGGGAAAAAATGACAAGCATCATTGTCAAAGTCACAGAACCTAGAATTGGCATGTACATCAAGAAATTAAGTCATCCTCATGTTGGTTCTATTACTACCAATTTGCATGATCATATGAGAAAAATACAAATGAGGCAGATATACAAGGTATCAAGGGGAAAAAGTGCATAACTTTGATTTGAGTATTACCACTTTCAGGTGATAAAACTCTACAAGCTCATCAAAATGTTTCTCTACACATACAGATCTTGTCACTCAGTATCTAGTATTTTTGATTATTTACAAAATGTAGTCAGCCTACTACTTAAAAAAAAAGAATAGATTTGAAAAGTTTTACAATAAGAACATTTAAAATAGTAAAAGCCGTTAAAATACAAATTTTCCAAGAAAGATCAGAAGCCATTTAGAGAAAGGGAAGAGAGATCCTAGGAAAATGGTGTAAAACATTTCTGCAATTGAAGATCAAATTTAGCACTCAGCTACATTTTGTGATGTATTTTACAGTTCTCTTTGTCTGCAAGCAAGCTCATTTGAGAGGCAGATTTTGCTGGCATTAAATCCTACGAATAATGTATCTTGTAGGTCCTTTTATGTAAGAAGAATGTTGAAAATGGGATGAAAAGTATCTTTTCAATATGAAAGAGCAAAAGTATCTTTGTATGACCATTTCTTATAACAGTCTTTGATAAACACAAAGGACCCAATAAATAATTTCATGACGCTTAAACACTCCCTGAAGATATGACTTGAGAAAGAAATCAATGAAGCAGATTCTTATCATGTATCTTAGACCTGTGGTTCCAATACATCAAGAATTTCTAATGAGTAAAACTGAAGGTAGGAGAGAGAAGACAACACAAGGACAAGGGGTTGCCAAGTGTCACTTTTGTCAAATAAGGCTATTTTTAACACCTATCATCATGATCCTTTCAAAAGGAAAGACTATCTTGAATAGTAAAAAAAAAAAAAAAAAGGTGGAAATAGGCCAGGAGCGGTGGCTCATGTCTGTAATCCCAGCACTTTGGGAGGCCGAGGCGGATGTTATCACTTGAGGTCAGGAGTTTGAGACCAGCCTGACCAACACGGTGAAAACCCATCTCTACTAAAAATACAAAATTAGCCAGGCATGGTGGCACATGCCTGTTATCCCAGCTACTTGGGAGTCTGAGGCAAGAGAATCGCTTGAACCTAGGAGGTGGAGGTGGCAGAGTGCCAAGATCACACCATTGCACTTCACCCTGGGCAACAAGAGCAAAACTCCATCTTAAAAAAAAAAAGGTGGAAATAGCACATTAACTTAAAGTGTTAGTTCTTTAGTATGTTTAATGAAACATATGTGAGAGCATTACATTTTTTCCCTATTTGCCGTAAACGATGAAAGATTTGCCACAGAATAGCACTAAAACACAGCTATTCGAAAATTGCCACCTTTGACAATTTTGCTAAAGTCAGCGTCAGATTCATGGCTGAGTGACCTGTGCAGTCTTGCAGGGCCCTGCACTCAGAAGGCCTCTCGCTTGGGGTTTAACACGCTGTGGTCATCATCTTGAATGATTAATACATTTTTAACAAAATGCTCAGTGTCTTCATTTTGCACTGGGCCCTGCAAATAATATATTCAATCCTGCCTAACGTCCTGTGGACTTCATATTTATTCCATAGGAACTTATCCAGCAGTCAATTCAGGGTTTCATTTAGAGTGAGTGCCTAAAGTGCAAGCATGATACTGTCCATTGAGAGGAGAGTAGGAGACTTCAGAAATGAGAGAAGGAAGTGGCAAATAGATGTTTCACAACAAAACTGTGAGGCTTGATCCACCCTCCAGTGGAAGGTTCCATAACCAGATAGAAGGTTATTTCAGCCTTTAAAAGGTAGCAGAGATACCTTGGTAGAAAAGGCCAAAATTTTTCTAAGGAAATAAAAGTTTGAATCACTCCAGTGATAGGACTAGTACTTAACCCCAAGACGGCATAGTTCTCTATTAGAGAACACAAGAAAACATTTTGTTGGCTGTAAAATGTTAATATCCTTTATTATCACTCCTCTAGCATGCAAAACCACCTCTTGAAGAGCCTGCCAGAATAAATTAACCCTAAAAGCTACACTCAAGTTGTTTTCCCAGCTGCACTGTTGAAAAGAATTATTTAATCCTGTACATGTGAAATTTGGACAATTTATGCCAGAAATAATAACCTGCATTTGGCGTAATTGAAACGACAAGCATTTTCCCTGACAATAATTAGCCAAAGTAAGGTATGGTGTTGGAGCAAAATCAATATAGAATTAAGCCCAGCTGACTCTAACACTTCAGAACTGAACCGCCCTGAGCAAGTTACTTAATATCTCTGAAAGTCATTTTCTGTAAAATGGGTCCAGGATTTCTCTGGTGACTAAATGGACGGTTTAATAGAATGGTTAATTACATCACAGTGGTTCTGTCCCTTACTGGTTGTGTAATCCCTGGCAAGTCACTTTATCTCTGTGTCAGAGGGGTGTCTATCAGTTTTGAATCCAAAATCACCTGACAGGTAGATAATCCATTGTAACCCTGACTCCCACTGCATTGGGAATGTGTCCCAAATTTGTCATTGTTCCACATCTACTGGGCACCCACCTGGCTGACCTAGACCACATCGTTGGACCTTCTGTAGATGTCAAATAATGAACCTGCACTTGTTCCCACCAGTTTCTCATTGTCCAGAATCCAAATAGCAGAATATCCCTTGAGACACCAATTTTGCACAAGTTATTCAGTCCCATACACATCTATTCTGTTGAAATAGATTGTGCCTAAGCCTGATTGAGAGCCAGGTGTGTTATGAATGTGACATTCACTTCATATATCTATAGGTATGTGCTATGGCCTGAACATGTGTATCCCAACAAAATTCTTATGTTGAAAACCTAATCACTAAGGTGATGGTATTAGGAGGGTGGGGACTTTGGGAGGTGATTAGATCAAGAGAGTAGAGCCCTCATTAATGGAATTAGTGTCCTTAATTCCATTTAGGGGGGGTCCATTCCATTCTGGGGGGTCCATAAACGAGACCCCCCAGAACTTCTCTGTCCCTTTTACCATGTGAGGACACAGGGAGAAAGCACCATCTATGAACCATGAAATGGGTCCTCACCAGACACCAACTCTGCCAGTGCCTTGATCTTGGACTTTCCAGCCTCCACAGCTGTAAAATTTGTTGTTCAAAATCTACCAAGTTTATGGTATTTTGTTATAGCAGCCTGAATAGACTAAGAAAGCATAGACTAATATTCTTGTGGGATTTAGATCATGTTATAATTTTCCTTGTCCACTCCCCGCTACAGTTGTAAATTCTTCGAGGACCAGGGCACTGGCTTGGTCATCATCTTTGTTCCACCAGTGTTCATCATACAGCACACTTACCTCCCACGGTCTGCACATTCAACAGTGTCTAAAAAAATTAACTAAGATCTCAGCCCAAAGCAGACCCTCAATAACTATTAGTGCCCCTCAAATAATACCTTCCATTTATTCTTTTACCAAGTAAGGCTGGGCTAAGCTCTTAGCATTTGTTTTTAAAGTTAAGTATTTTACTTGATTCTTACTCTTTTGACATAGGTAAATCATGTGTGATATATATGGGGATAATTCAGTTTTGCAATACTAGCCCAAAGGTTACCACTAGCACTATGCTTTCCAAATACTGGTTGCTTGATCAGTATTTGACAGATAAATGGATAAATCACTGAAGAATTTTCAATCTGCTTTAATATCTCCTCTCCCCTTCATTGTAGATATGGCTAAGAATATAGTAAATCAGCACTTTCAAATTCAGAAAGACCAGAGCACACAGGCTGGCCAATGTAAGAGGCATGCTTAACTCCAACCCTTATTCATCCGCCCCCCACTCTTTGTTTTGTAAGACCAGAGAGTAGCCAGCACAGGACTCCTCCCAATATTTTATGAAAACTAAAAGATGTGTCATCTAAGCTTTAATTAAAGAGGGAAATTATAGACTGCAACATGGAAAATTTTAAAAGTCTCTGGCACTCCATTATCTTCATTGAAAAGCTCAGGTAAACACATCTCCCATCCATTTGGTATATTTCAACTAAGGTAAGTTACTAGGCTTTTATAAAGTTTTATAAATGACAAAATCATATTCACATAAGTATCACAAAGGAACCATGCAAAAGTACACTAATGGTTGTTCATGGCTTCTAACTATGTTGGCTTTCTACTGCTTGTTTATTTATTATTATCTTTTTTTTCCCTGCGCTTCCAAAACAGTCAGAAGTCCCTCAAGAGGAAGCTATGGTAAAATAGAGTATTGCAAAGGGCAGCGGGACTCAAACTTCTAAATTTCCAAAGGTTTCAAGATCACCTAGAAGACTTGTTAAAGATTGTTGGATTTCACCCTCAGACTTTCTAATTCAGTAGATCTGGGATAGTGGCCAAGAATTTGCATTTCTGTAACTTTTCAAGTGGTGCTGATGCTGCTGGTCCAGGAACTACACTTTCAGAAGCACTGGCTTAAAGCAGAGTCAGTATTGAGGATGCACAGCATCCCGGTTAATGGTAAAAGCTTTGAATTAGATACATAGGTTAGAATTATAGTTCCCCAACTGCATTAAATACTTGGCATGTTCATGATCATCCACCTTCCTCTGAATAACTTTTCCACATTTGGAGGAACTCCCATGTAATCAGTTCCATGGCCCCAGTGATGAAGTCAAACTCAAACTGCAGCCAGATACATGTGACCCGTGCTTCACTCATCAGATTCATCCACTGAGCCATCAGTTCTAAAGTAAGCAATGTGTGGAAACAGGCCTGTGGGCAGCTTCCATTTTGCTGCCTTTGGGAATGGCAGTTACCCAGTTTCCTGAGGCTCCAGTGATTACAAGGTCAAGCTCCTGATATCCAAGAGGCATCAGTGCAACGAGGTCACGTTTCTGGCATGTATTGCTTGGTATAGCAGCTTCCTCAACAGGCCAGTGAAGCAACCTGACCTTGGTCACTGTTCCAGAAAGTTCACCCTTGAGTTCTGTCTCCAGCTGCTCAAATGTTCCATGGGCCACCTAATATCCTATAATAAATTCCTTTCTGCCAGAATGGTAGTACCTCAGAACTCTGTCTAATAATAACCACATTCTAATATCGCAACCAGTAAGTATCATTAGAACCTCAATTTCCTTCTTTGCAAATGCTAATATTACATAATGACAGTGGTTCAAAAAATTTGTTATATATTATAGATTAACACACATACATGTATTGATTCTTCTGATAGATATCTTTAACCACAAATGTATTTCATTATATCACAAGGCTCCAATTCATAAACCACAATAACCTTATAAAATAATGGAGTTCATTTTTCACAAACAAAATTTTTTTTTTTTTTTTTTACTAACCTCAAGTGGCAATAAAAATAAATTTATATTGAAGTATTTTTTCTTTCTTACCTTTTCTCCTCTTAGAGTTTTGGATATTTTGAAATAAAATAGTAATATTTCAAAATGAAAAGTAGCTACTAGTAAATTGCCTGGAAGAAACCAAACAGTATTGGAAGTGATGTTTCCAACATAGAGGCTTTCCCTAGGCTATGTCTAACAGAGCAGGAGAGAAACTAAAATGTGTTTTTGTGCTTCTACTTTATCCACAGCCCCAAGAAGCCCTGCTGGCAAAGTTGTCACATCTAATCTTGGCTTACATTCCTGGATGCAGTTTACTAACCTCATTTGTTTTCCAGCTCACAAGCTAAAGAGTCCAATGCAGTTGCGAGTTTTGATTGCAATTTTCTTTTAACATCCAGTCCTCAGTACAGATTCTGTTGTCATTCTCCTTACTTGAACCCTTTGACTGCAGTCACCAAACTGGACCACAAGTTCACCTCTCACTCCCAGCCCCTTTTTCTCTACTTTCATTAACACCCTCCATTCCTGGAGGCCATGGCAATATTCAGTCAAGAACTAGGGATGCAGAGTCAAATAGTTATAGGCCTATAATTTAAGAAAACTGATGCTGGGAGAGATTTTGCACATTTGCCCATGATCTCACACCTAGCAAGTTTGAAAAGAGGATTTAATCTGAGGTCTCTCTGATTCCAATAGTCCCCACCCGTTTTACAATACTGCCTCCATCTTTAAATGCATGTGAAATAGGAATTACACTTATTTTGTTTACCTTTTGAGAGCCTGACTTAATAACTGTGTTTTAAATACAGTAAATATTTACTCAGGTGGAAGTCACCTGACCTTCTACTAGAATTCCTGTTTTGATGTGAGACTGGTATCTTAGTCTTGATTCCTTAAAAAATCCAAGTCTGAGGCAAATCGTACATGCTAAGTCATCAATAGCAGGTGCAATTTCCAAGGCGGCAAGAATGAGGAATAAAAGGGTGAGAACAAGGAAAGGAGAAAAAGTATGAGACAGGGATATTGTGGAGCTTCACAAGGAAGTCAGTTGCTCAGACACGTAGGATGGTCTCCAGATAGGCCATGTGAAACCATCTTGGAAGGATCAGTCAGGAGGGAAATCTACACCCTTCTTTCAGTCACCTCCTAGTCATTGGTCAGAGTCTGCCCCGTGACAGGGCAACCCTCTAATATTTACTGTTTGCATTCTCCTATCTTCTGCATATCTGCTGGGACAGAAGTCAGACCCTGTGCCATGTGCAAGCAGCATTCTTTCTAAGCCTGGGAGCAGTAAGAGGGTCCTCTGTGGGTCTTGTCAATTTGGACCTAGAGTTTAGACCTGGGTGTTGAGCCACTGTGGCCAACCCTCACCCCAGCAAATGATGTGTTATGAGGCAAAGTGATGGCAATGGTGGCAAAGCCTCTTATTAGTCAAGTTACCAAGACCCAGGCAGGAACAATGCTGGATCCAGAATATTGGTTAGAGATCCTTATGATCCTTCTAATTCTAACAGCCTATGATTTAAAGAATCCAAGTGGGGTTGATGACCTATTTAAGATCAGACAGCAAGTTAGCAGCAGAGGACGGACACTCAAAACTCTGGAGAATTACTTTGGTATTCTTTTCACTACAAAACAGCTTCCTTAAGACTTCCCTCAAATTCTATTGTATCCACAGTCCTTTAAGCCAGCAGTCCCCAACCTTTTTGGCACCAGGGACCAGTTCCATGGAAAACAATTTTTCCATGGACGGGGATGGTGGGTGGTTTTGAGATGAAACTGTTCGACCTCAGATCATCAGTCATTAGATTCTCTTAAGAAGCATGCAACCTAGATCCCTCTTATGCACAGTTCACGGTAGGGTTCGTGTTCCTACGAGAATCTAATGCTGCCACCAGTCTGACAGGAGTGGAGCTCAGGTGGTAATGCTGGTTCTCCTGCCATTCATCTCCTGCTGTGTGGCCCAGTTTCTAACAGGCCCACGGACCAGCACCAGTCCACGCCCTGAGGGTTGGGGACCCCTGCTTTAAGCCACAGGTAGCACACAAATATCTAAATGGGCCTAGACCAGTATCACAAACTAGTAAATTGTGAATTGTGCCAATTATTTATATATTAGACCACAACAGAGCAACTTCCCCTTTTTCTTGAAACATGTGGTCATTTGATTTGTCCTTCATACTTCCAATTTTGATAGAGCAAAGAAAGGTGAAATACTGAGCATAAAAAGCAGTGTGTGTGATAATCAATGAAAGCTGCCAGTGGTGTGCTAGATCCAGCTCATACTAGATTGTATGAGTGTCCTCCATACTCCTTTATGTTAATTTTCAATTAGCCATGCTGAAAAATCATCAAATGCTACACCTCAGGGTTTTTATTTTCTGGGGAGGCAGGTCATCATAAATATCAACCAGCACACAACTGCATATGGCCTCAGAACATGATGAGGTGTAGCAAATCAGGGAAAACCTGTTCCCTTTAAAGGTGACAGTGACACTGAGCCTTAAAAAGTATTGCCACATCAGAATACACATTCATCATAGTTGATCTTCCAAGTCTTCTAGGAAGTCAGAAATACAAGTTCTTAAGCTAAAACCTCCCATTTAAAAATATGAACTTAATTTTTTTCTAAACATCTCCCTGAGACAAACTGGAACTCTCGGCCGCGAGTTCACAAATCTCGCTTTACACCAAGTATGATCCCAAAGGGTAGCATCCTATACATCTTCAACTAAACATCAATATGAAAGATTTGGCCTAATTTTTCTTCAGAAAAAGCTAATAAAAGATGCTCCCTGGACTTCATTCCATACGAGACAGTCCTTTATTTAACATAGCAGCAGCATCATTCAGTATCTGTCTGGCTACCAGAAATACACTGACCTATATAGGAGGTTGGTAAGATGTAAAGTTTTACTTCACTTTT